TCCTTCTGTTGTGTATGTGAACTTGTTTCTTCAAGAGTTCAGCAGAAGAATATGGATTTATAGTGTATATCTACGTAAGGGTTAGTGACATGACATTCTTTTTTTTTCTTTGTATAGATATATGAAGTTATTAAAAATGTAATTCATACAAAATTGACTCGAATACAACTTTTCTCTCATAAATATGTTTTCAGTTTCTGAATTAAGAGCAATTTTTGATATTTTAGTGGTGCTTAAAATATAATAATAATAATATTAAAAACTGCTTACTGTAGGTGGTGTAATGGCTGATTTAATATATTGAAATAAAAAAATATATATATATTATAAATTATATTATATATTATTATTATTATTATTATTATTATATATTATTTAACTATCATTTATTTTATTTTTTTTGACAGTCAGTGTGTGGACTATTTCAGGGCCATTAGGTTTTGTTTAGATTTTTTTTATATCAGATTTTTTAACTTTAATTAAAAAGTTTGTTTTTTTCAGGTCGAATGTAGTAACTCTAAGAACATTTAACAATGTAAATGTAATATTATTTGTTAAAATAATTGTATTACTTCAAAAAATGTTTAAAAACTTGTACACTTGTATTTAAAGTGCAAAGGTATTCGAGGAAAGTATTTTACTATTTTTACGGGTATATCGCTTGTGATTAAATCATAATTTTAAAAAAAATCATTTTCAAAAATGTCTGAGATCTTTTAAAAAAATTTTTTTTTAATGATCTCAGGCTGCCTACTTTGTCACTAGACTCTTAGTTACTCGCCTTGTTTTTACACCATTTTTGGATGATTCGTTGACATCCTTGCATAGGAGACAAACCATAGCAGAGATACAGCAGTCTCTTTCTCCAACTAAAACAAGAGCATTGTGCCTGTTTATGAGACTTTACCTCCTCTGAAGTGGTGACATTTTTTCATGTCAGTTTCAATGGCCTTAAAACATAAAGCAGACCTCACATTCCTTAGGATTCAGTTTCCTTTTGTTGACCTTATCCCATCAGGTACATTAATATAACAACTGATGAGGCCACCAGACAACATTACACACAGAATGATGAATTTAGATTCTTGCTCTGAGGGAACTTCCTTTAGAAAAAGATACATACTTAACAGGATGCAATGGAGGGATGCTGCCAGACCTAAATCGGTCCGAGGAGTGAAAAGAGCCCTTGTTCGAAACCTTTTGGCTTCCTTTGATGCTAAGACTGTCTGAGGTTGTCTAATTGTTTTGTAGCTTAGAGATCATCCAAAAGGGACTCAGTGTGAGAGCAGATATTGAGTTTACCTGTTGTTTTTGTTATTTGACACAGAATAGCTTAAATGGATAATTCAGAAGGGCTGACTGCTGCTATTTTATTTTCTCTCATTTATTTTTCTTTCAGTTTTCTAAATGTGCAGAGAGATCAGTCTTGGGTTTGGTGTGTTGCTCAAGAACAGAGAGGTTCTCTGTAACTTTCCATTGTATGGACGCTTAGCTGTTTATCTTCTCACACATTATTATGTGCTCACATTTATGCACATTCACATGCATCCATGCACACCAAAACAAGCCATTGATGTAAAAGCTCAACAGATGTAGTTGAGACTGAATACACAATAGAAGTTTATCGTTGATCTGCATATCATACTCGTCACCATCACAAGAATTATCTGATTGTGTTCCTTCAATAGAAACACCAGGATTGTTACTGGCTGAACTCTTATACAAGCACTTGGAAATTATTTAAAAGGGGCATCTGGGAACTGTCAGCATGTTTCTAAATACAAGTATTTATATCGAAATTCTCATGAGGGACCATGAGCCAGGTTTTAAGGATCAGGAGACAAATATGGTCAGGGCTCAAGAAGTATATCAAGTGGAAATCGGACAAGAATTCTGAAAGGAAATAAGAGCATGGACTGAGAAAGACTTTTTAAGGAATAAGCTATTGTTTGCTCTGGATGGCTAAGGAAATCTCTTCAGAGTGAAGCAGTTTCACAAAACTGTTTACTTTATTGTTCTAGTACTCGAGCAGTCTTGCAACAATATTTATGAGCCTCTGATGTTTTTGTCTGGGTCTTGTCATGCACTCAGGTATGTCTGCACTTGGATTAGTTGTCTCAGACATGAATGCAAGAACCTGATTTACACATGGACATGTCGTAGCAGCCTGTCATTTTCATGTTCCCTGTCAAATACATTTCTATTTGATATTAGAGGAACATTGTTTCAGCATAATATACAATCAGTAATAACCAATGATGATCCAAATGGCTATGATTTTTCTCAGAATTGCCAAACATAAAAAAGACACAATTATGAGATCACGATTACCTTTTTTATTCTGTTATGGAAATAGGCTTCCATACAATCATGATTATTGCATTCTCCAACTTGTGAACTGGTCTTGTGTAAATATGTGTATATATATTAGTTAGGTGTTTATCTTTTCATGAACTGATGGAGCTTCCCACATACAGTCTTGTCTCATTCTCAAAAAAATCTTGTCTCCTCCCTCTATAGGGTCTCCGGATGTGCTTGGGTTAGTAGGGTTCGATTATTGGGGGTTAGAGTTTTTGTACTGGATATATTTTACAAACCCTCTGCTGAACATTTTAGATGGCTTTTGTAAATAGTTAGGTTTGGGTCAAATATGGAGGAACCCAACTACTTGGTTAAAAATTTAATTTGACCAAAAGTTGGGTTGAAGCAACCCAGCATTTTTACTCTAAAATTAGCTTATGATTAAATTAATGATCATGGACTTTACCAGCATATACTTAATTTAGCATGAATCATACCACAAATACATTAAAACGGCCTTTTCTTCATAATTTGAGAAATTACCCAAGAGTCCTGATACGTCATATAGGATGTGTGTTGTGTTTATGTCATGTCCATTTAGTTTTATGAAGGCAAGTGTTTCTCACAAAAGCCTTTGTGTCCTGTAAATGAGCACAATACTCCTGATGAATGATGGTGGTTTGGGTTTCAGTGGGCTTTGAAGTATGGCGTAATGCTACATGTGTTTGTGTTTTGCTCTTCCCTTCGTTCTTGACCTTCACTTTTTTGTTTTAAAAGAAGGGACAGTGTATGTGAGAAAGAGAAGGGCATATGAAACATAGTTAGGGAGGAGGGGAATAGGAAAAGGACTTTGTGGCTCGCATTGCCCTGAGGCCTCTCTCATCCTCCCACCCAGAAATCGCATGATACCAATGAACATGTTGCTTAGCCACAGTAGTTTTTATGATTCGTTTTTCTTGTAAGCACATCACTTAAATCTTATATCTCAATGATCCTGCAAAAGATAAGGGATGTTTACAGTTCCATAATAAAAAAAGTTTACAATGATAGTTCAGAATGCATAGCATAAAGAGATGATCTCAGTAATACCAGTTTCTACATACATTTGAAATACTGGTATCAACAAGGTGTTTGATGGATCTCATGTTGTTTTCACTAATCTCCACTTTCAGCCAAATAAACAGAGCACAACCTGTGACCTCTATCCTTTATTTGGCACTGGTTGGCAACTTGCGTGACCACAACTTGAGTGGAAAGTGACCTCCCACGTGGACACAAGGAAACAGATTACAGACACACTCCTGCTTTCAATTAAACCCTAGTAAGATGACAACTCACACATTTGTTTAAACAGTGAAAGGCTGGGGCTTTATAACCACAGAATCAGGCTAAATGCCCTCATGTAAGTTCGCTCACTTCCTTATTGTTTTTGGAGACATAGTTTCAAGGTTTTGATTCTAACGACTCTATTTAAAGTAATAATTCACCCAAAAATGAAAATTCTGTCATTAATTATGCACCCTCATATCGTTTCAAACCCGTAAGACTTTCCTTCATCTTTGGAAAATGAATTAAGATATTTTTGATGAAATCCGAGAGCTTTCTGACCATCCATAAACAGCAACGCAACCATCACGTTCAAGACCCAGAAACTGCAGCTTGTTTGCAAAGAGAGGAACGCACACACATGCTTTGTGGTATTGTTGTGAATGCACGTCAAATTCTGACACGGAAGAGAAGAAATTGTTGAATAAAGTTGTTGTTTTTGTTTCCTTTGCGCACAAAAGTATTCTCTCTTGAACGTGCAGGGTCAGAAAGCTCTCGGATTTCTTCAACAATATCGTAATTTGTGTTCAGAAGATGAACGAAGGTCTCACGGGTTTGAAACGATATGAGAGTGAGAAATTAATGACAGAATTTTCATTTTTGGGTGAACTATACGTTAAACAGGACAAGACATTATATTCTGATTTGTTATTCTAACAGTATTCAAATAAGCATTGAGGTTGATCGGCAGCAAATTTCCTTTCAGTAACTGTTTTGGCTTTCGGCTCTTCTCGTTCTGTCATCACATCAGATGTGCCAACACATATGACTACTCACAGGATGTATGCTGTCAGAGGAATTACATTAGGTCAAAAAATGTCCACTAGCTATTGTATGTTTACCCAATACAGTGCTGCTGCCAAGTCTAAAAGTAGCCGTCCTTGAATCCAAATTAAACTGAGAAGCTCAAATAGTGTTTTTCTCATATAGCATGTTTTAAGTACTTAGACCTTTAGGCTTTTGTGTTTTTAGTAACCCAGACAGGCCTTTTAGGGCATGTTTATCCAGACGTGTTCCTATTAGGGATAAATATCTAAAACTATGAATGTCTAAAAATCTCTCTTAAGGACTGTTGGGAGTGATTTCACACCTTTTAACCCCAGCTTTTGCTGCACAATATCTGATGGTCGGTTTGTAAGGGGTGTGCAAAGCACTTTAACTGCAGTATATCAGTTTCAGCAGGGTAAATCCTGCTCCTTGCTGCAGAATTTCAACTCTGATCAAACACACATGAATCAGCTTCCCTTTAAAATCATAACCAGGTGTGCTCGAGCTAGTCCACAACCAAACGCTGCAAAAAGGCCTGCTGAGTCTGAAAGTAATGCGTTCACTGTTTCACTTCTGCTTTCTTTTTCTGTCTTTCTCTTTCTCAGGGCGACCATATGTGGGCCACCATGCTGGGGCAGAGCGTGAAGCTTCAGCCGGTTTCCATCCAAAGCCTCTCAGAGCTGGAAAGAGCACGTCTGCAGGAGGTGGCCCTTTACCACTTGGAAAGAAGAGACCTAGACTTTAAGATCAGCATCCCTAGAGGTACACTTCCTTGTTGAAATAGCTTGTTTTGTGATGTCTAGTAATCATGCATGACAGAAGTAGTGCATAGATTTAAATACCAAGTGATAAATCGTTTTACATATGTGACCCTGGACCACAAAACCAGTCTTAAGTTGCTGGGGTATATTTTTAGCAATAGCCAAAAAAAACATTGTATGGGTCAAAATTATAAATTTTTCTTTTATGCCAAAAATCATTAGGATATTAAGTAAAGATGATGTTCCATGAAGATATTTTGTAAATTTCCTACCGTAAATATATCAAAACTTAATTTCTGATTAATAATTGCTAAGAACTTGCCTTGGACAACTTTAAAGGCGATTTTCTCAATATTTAGATTTTTTTGCACCCTCAGATTCCAGATTTTCAAATAGTTGTATCTCGGCCAAATATTGTCCTATCCTAACAAATCATACATCAATGGAAAGCTTATTTATTCAGTTTTTATTCAGATTATGTATTAATCTCAATTTCGAGAAATTGACCCTTATGACTGGTTTTGTGGTCCAGGGTCACATATAATAATCATATCTTGTCACAGTCTAGATATGATTATTTCAGACAGATGCTTATCGAATTCCCAAGAAATCCATGCAAATATCACATCGCAGTCAATTCAGAGGTATTTCTGAGGGATTTCCGAAAGTAAATCTAGCAGATAAGACTTCTGAGAGGTGAAAGTGAAATTTGTAAGATGGAGTACAGCAGTGCCGTACCAACAGAACATCTGAATTGTTGCACACTAGTGTTGGGGTCATGACCCAAAAATAGGTTTCAGGTGACTTCGCCATAGACAGCAAGGGAAAAAACAGCTCTGAATCCAATGAATAAAATGATAAATTCTTATTTCTGAAGTTCAAGAACAAAACTGTGTGAAATATAAGACAGTACAACTTAGCCCAGTATTTGTTCCATGCGTTTGTTTGCCTTCTGCTGACGTTTATGCAATTATAAATTTGTCATTCGTAATATTGTTGAGCCTTTGCAGCTCATTGGACTTATACATTTCATAATACATTTTGATATTTGGTGTGTGCATTTGGTGCTGTTGAGTAGCCGTTAAGTCATGAAGCTAAATCAGTTTGTTGGAGAGTTCACATTCGATATTAAATGAACATTAGGCCTATTAATTAACAGAACCATCCCTGTTTATTATTTGATAATGTGAGATGGGATTTTGTTATCATGTGAGAGTCCCCTTATGTCCCACCATGGAAAACCACATTGTTTTATGGGAAGTGGTATTCCCAGCACGTACAAGCAGCTCCACATGGTCAGATCAGAGAAGGTCATCCTCTGTTCTCTATAGTGGAGTTTTCAACCGGTCATCTGTGAGAAGACCTCAGCCGGCACTTTAGCTGACCCATGGGGAAGCAGCCGCCACAATTTATGGGAATATTTACGGAACATTTTCCTCCCAAAGGAGAAATCTGTCATATTGAGCCTGGTGGTTTACTCAGCCGCTCCTCTTGGAATTGTCATCAACGTGTTTGGCAGCTATTTTTGGGGAAGATGACTGTCCTTTGGAGAGTTAAATTAAACTTTGTGAAATGCACTTAAGCGAATTCAGAAAGCATGTCGTAAGTGACTGACCTCTCTGTTTGGCTTTGGTTATTTTCTGGTTTGTTTGTGGTTAACTGAAAGTTAAGTATACTGTAAACTTTCTGCATTTTGTCTGTAATATTGTGATTCCTAATCTTTGTAAACTTTGGCTGTATGCAGCCTGGAGCTTTTGTTTTGTTTTGTTTTAGTCTCTTGCTTTCTAAAAGTGGCTCCTTTACTTTGTTTTCAATCTCTGCTTTGGCCCGAAGAGATTATTTATCCTGAATCAGGCTAATATCTCAGCATGCTCTCTGTTCATTCCCCTAATCATCCTCTCTCTGATGGGAGCTGATGGGGGCTTTAGCCCATGATGTCTTGCGGCGTGTGGGGAGGGTTGGGGGCAGTTGCCATAGAAACAAACTCTCATTTCCTGCAGTCATGGGAATATGACCCCACCTAAAGCCCCTCTGCATGTGCTACAATTCATTTGGTTTCTCTATCTCTCTGGACATCTCAAAGGAGCATCTTTTAAACCTTTTCCCTTCAGCTCAATAACTCAGACCTCTTCTGATTCAATTGAGTAAAAGTATATCTGTAAGTTGAAGGCATAACAAAATGGAACCAATTTATCAGCATTTACAGACAGGAAGAGGTTTGAGTGTAAACACGTCTATTGGTTTGTGTTTAAAATGCTGCAGCACTGTGGGGGAATTTTTAACCTAGTAATGGGATCAGCTATTCATCACATTTTTTACTGTTCTCCTGAGGGCCGTATAGACAGAGTACATCAGAGTTATGAAAACACAGAGACAAAAGGTGTTTTACTTTAGCTATACTTATTTTCAGCTCCAAATTTGGAAAGAATACTCTTTTTCTATATCAACAATCAAGGATAATTGTGGCTGTTTATCTGTGTAGGAAATGCTTCTGCTTCTAATTTTGTCTTACTCACAGCTTTCACTAATATAGGTTTTATATAGTGTTTGCTTTGCCAGCTCTGTGCCCATGCTTGGTGCTCAAGAGGTTTCACTTCATTATCAGCCATCTAACCGGAACAGTTTATTTTTGGGAAAGGAAGTCTTGTCATTACATGCATCTGTTTAGGTGTTTGTGTTATGTGTTGTAAGCATTACATTTATATTTTTATACAATACTGTTTAAAAGTTTGAGTTATTTTTTTAAAGAAATAAATACTTTTATTTGAGAAGTTACAGTGAAAACATTTAAAATGTTACAAAAATCTATTTAAAATATTTCATATTATATGAAATTCCTGTTCATCAAAGAATCCTGCATCACGGTTTCCACAAAAAATATTAAGCAGCACAGCAGTTTTCAACAATGATAATAATAATAAATGTTTGCATTAAATCATCATGCTAGAATGATTTCTGATGGATTATATGACACTGATTTCAGTGAAAAATGTATATTTGCCCTCAGAAATAATTTACATCTTAAAAATATTACAAATAGAAAACAGTTGTTTTAAATTGTAATAACAGTTGACAGTATCACTATTTGACTTGCTTTGGTGGGCACAAGGGGCTTTAAAAAAAAAACCTTACCAACCCCAAACTTTTTTTTTTTTTTTTTACA